CTGTGGGCCCCAAGTAACAGTTCTGTGGCCCTCAGAAACAATTCTGTGTCTGTGCGAGTAACAATTCTGTGTCTGTGCGAGTAACAATTCTGTGGCCCTAACTAACAGTTCTGTGGCCCTAAGTAACAGTTCTGTGTCCCTGAAGTAACAATTCTGTGTCTGTGCGAGTAAGAATTCTGTGTCTGTGCGAGCAACAATTCTGTGGCCCTAAGTAACAGTTCTGTGGCCCTCAGTAACAGTTCTGTGTCCCTGAGTAACAATTCTGTGTCTGTGCGAGTAACAATTCTGTGTCTGTGCGAATAACAATTCTGTGGCCCTCAGTAACAGTTCTGTGTCCCTGTGTAACAATTCTGTGTCTGTGCGAGTAACAATTCTGTGGCCCTAAGTAACAGTTCTGTGGCCCTCAGTAACAATTCTGTGTCCCTGATTAACGTTTCTGTGGCCCCAAGTAACAGTTCTGTGGCCCTCAGTAACAATTCTGTGTCTGTGCGAGTAACAATTCTGTGTCTGTGCGAGTAACAATTCTGTGGCCCTAACTAACAGTTCTGTGGCCCTCAGTAACAATTCTGTGTCTGTGCGAGTAACAATTCTGTGTCTGTGCGAGTAACAATTCTGTGTCTGTGTGAGTAACAATTCTGTGGCCCTAAGTAACGGTTCTGTGGCCCTCAGTAACAGTTCTGTGTCCCTGTGTAACAATTCTGTGTCTGTGCGAGTAACAATTCTGTGGCCCTAAGTAACAGTTCTGTGGCCCTCAGTAACTATTCTGTGTCTGTGCGAGTAACAATTCTGTGTCTGTGCGAGTAACAATTCTGTGGCCCTAAGTAACAGTTCTGTGGCCCTCAGTAACAATTCTGTGTCTGTCCCTGAGTAACAATTCTGTGGCCCTAACTAAAGTTTCTGTGGCCCTAAGTAACAATTCTCTGGCACTCAGTAACAATTCTGTCTGTCCCTGAGTATGAATTCTGTGGCCCTAACTAGCGTTTCTTTGTCCCTAAGTAACGATTCTGTGGCCCTAATTAACAATTCTGTGTCCCTGAGTAATAGTTCTCTGTCCCTAAGTATCATTTCTCTGTCCCCAAGTATCGTTTCTGTGGCCCTAACTCTGTCCCTGTCCCTAATACAGAGCGGTCTGCCTCTGTTCAATGACTGCAGGCAAATGAAGAATTCCAAAATGGCCGCTATTTATAGCTCGACCATTACACAGTGCTAGCTGGCTGGCTGCTGATTGGCTGATGCGATCACATGTCGTTGAGGAATGCATTATGGGTCAGCGCGCCTTGTCTGCGCGCCTTCCCAGACATCCCCGCTCCGTCGCCCCGCACATGTCAGCCGCCATTTTCGGAAAAATTTCGATTCGCGCGTCCGAATTAGGCTATTTTTCGGATTCGGCACGAATCGAAATTTTTCCGATATTCGACTCGAATTCCACTTCGGCTACTTCGATTCGCTCATCTCTAGTTACCAGCGTTATCAAACCGTCCCGTGTGCATGAGGGCTGAAAGTTGCATCGACTTCAATGTAGCTCATGCACTACTTTGGTACAACGTTCATGCAACTTGAGTGCCATAGATTGCAATGTAAACCCTCAAAAATCGTATGAAAGTTGTACCTGTTTATTCACACTTGTACGACTCCAGTCATACGACTTGGGAGTGCACCTTTGTCGCAACTTTGACGCACCTTTGGCGCAACTTTGGATGGGTGCAACTTGGATACGACTTTGGCTTTCATTAATTCCTTGATGCCGAGCGCACGCAAATATGTGGCCTCTTGGCATCTGGGCCTTGACGCCGAGCGGGCGCATATTTGCATGCAATTAAAAAATAGATACGTGCTGAGAGTGCGCCCCCTGCGCGCTCCCAGCACATATGTCCGTGACTCACGGAAAGGTCCCGATCTCCCCTTTCGATCGGGACCTTTCCCGATCATGTGACCGCCGTGACGGCGAAGCACAGCGGTCATGTGACCCTAAAACCCCGCCCGCCTCCCGGCTTCTGAAACTCTTAAAGGGCCGGGGGGCACCGGCCTGAAGTGGTTAATGATAATGGACAACTGTTTCATGTATATCATTCAGGTGCAACTTTCATACGACTTTACATTGCAGTCTATGGCACTCAAGTTGTATGAAAGTCACACCAAAGTAGTGCTACTTTGAAGTTGCTGCAACTTACATGTTTGAACTGTTATCATTGAAAAACATGAGGAAAGACTTGTCATGCTACTTTAGTGTCCAAAGTCGTATGACAAGTTGCACAAGTGTGAATGGATGCATGCGACAGTTGTCCATTTATCATTAATGAAAGCCAAAGTCGTATCCAAGTTGCACCCATCCAAAGTTGCGTGAAAAGTTGCATTTAAAAGTCATACGACTTTGGAGTTGTCCAAGTATGAAGGGAACCTTATGGAATTCTGATTTCTATCCTTCCAGGCTTCCCTATTTCACCTTTGTTTAAGCCTTGTCGGCTTTTAAACAGAAGCAGCAAACAAACATTTCCTAGACCAGCCTTTCTTAGCCAGCGTGCCCAGGCCTCCTGGGGTGCCTTTAGGTTTCTTCAGGGGTGCCTTGGCAAAATGTCTACAAATTGCCCAAATCTTGTATACAACCAGCGGGGGGGAACAAGCTGGCCTTTTAGTTACACAAAGCCCCAGGTTTCCATTGTGCACCATTACGACCTTCTAGCCGCCGGCGTCCTGACAACCAATGACATCATCAGTTGATAAGGAGGATGTCGGTTGCCTGCACAACATCCTAGTTTGACCCTCCCCCTGCCCCTCTCCATCAGTGCTGGGGTCTCTAGCTGAGTGATGGAGAAAAACAGGGAGAGGAGAAACACTGGAATACTAGTCGGTACCAGTGTGCAAAAGTGTATTTGCTTTGGAAGAATAAATCACCTCCAATGTTGGGTGTTGCTGCATCATATGAAACTATTACAATAGTTTTTCATATTTTAGAATGGGGTGCCTCAAGACTGTCCATAATTATAAAGGGTGCCTCAAGACTGTCCATAATTATAAAGGGTGCCTCAAGACTGTCCATAATTATAAAGGGTGCCTCAAGACTGTCCATAATTATAAAGGGTGCCTCAAGACTGTCCATAATTATAAAGGGTGCCTCAAGACTGTCCATAATTATTATAAAGGGTGCCTCAAGACTGTCCATAATTATAAAGGGTGCCTCAAGACTGTCCATAATTATAAAGGGTGCCTCAAGACTGTCCATGATTTTAAAGGGTGCCTTGGGACTGTCCATGATTTTAAAGGGTGCCTTGACTGCAAAAAAGGTTGAGAAACACTGTCCTGGACCATTTATTTGGTGTTCCTTTCTATACCTTTGAATACCTCACGCAGAGAACATGTACCATTGCCCATGCACCTTTGAATACATCACGCAGAGAACATGTACCATTGCCCATGCACCTTTGAATACCTCACGCAGAGAACATGTACCATTGCCAATGCACCTTTGAATACATCACGCAGAGAACATGTACCATTGCCCATGCACCTTTGAATACCTCACGCAGAGAACATGTACCATTGCCCATGCACCTTTGAATACCTCATGCAGAGAACATGTACCATTGCCCATGCACCTTTGAATACCTCACGCAGAGAACATGTACCATTGCCAATGCACCTTTGAATACATCACGCAGAGAACATGTACCATTGCCCATGTACATCAGAGAGCAGCCTACTGATCAAACCCCGTATAAACTCATATTTCCATTTGGGCTATTAGATCTACTTTTGTGCTTCAACAATTTAGCCCCCTGTGGTATTTGGGGCTCATAGCAGCATAATGTGGTCAGCAATACAGGACAGCACTGTGTAGGTTCTGCACAGGCAAGTGCTCACAGCAACATGGTATAGTGTTGGGTTTCTGAATAGACAGCAACTTACAGCAGCACGTAGGTTCTACATAGAGATGAGCGAATCGAACTTGGCGAAGTGGAATTCGTTTCGAATATTAGGAAAAATTCGATTCGCACCGAATCCGAAAATTAGCAAACTTCGGATGCACGAATCGAATTTTTCCCGATCGGCCGTTTTTCATCCCTTCTACAGCCGGCAAAAAGTGTCCCTGCAGAGAGCTCCGCTATTTCTGACAGTTCTCTGACAGTTCCTTCACATTTACAGCGGTTGAAACATTGTATCTATTTGTTTCCATTTAGGATACAGATGTTTTTATTCGGAAACAAATAGATACAATGTTTCAACCACTGTAAATGTGAAGGAACTGTCAGAGAACTGTCAGAAATAGCGGAGCTCTCTGCAGATACACTTTTTGCTGTACTGGAATTCTTCTTATTTTCATCCTACTTCTTCTTCTTCTTCTTCTTCATCCTCATCCTCATCTTCTTCTTCTTCTTATCCTTCTTCTTCTTCTTCTTCTTCTTATCCTTCTTCTTCTTCTTCTTATCCTTCTTCTTCTTCTTCTTCTTCTTCTTATCCTTCTTCTTCTTCTTCTTCTTATCCTTCTTCTTCTTCTTATCCTTCTTCTTCATCTTCTTCTTATCCTTCTTCTTCTTCTTCTTCTTCTTCTTATCCTTCTTCTTCTTCTTCATCCTCATCCTCATCTTCTTCTTCTTCTTCATCCTCATCTTCTTCTTCTTCTTCTTATCCTTTTTCTTCTTCTTCTTCTTCTTCTTCATCCTCATCCTCATCTTTCTCATCTTCTTCTTCTTCTTCTTCTTATCCTTCTTCTTCTTCTTCTTCTTATCCTTCTTCTTCTTCTTCTTCTTCTTATCCTTCTTCTTCTTCTTCTTCTATCCTTCTTCTTCTTCTTCTTCTTCTTCTTCTTATCCTTCTTCTTCTTCTTCTTCTTATCCTTCTTCTTCTTATCCTTCTTTCTTCTTCTTCTTCTTCTTTTTCTTATCCTTCTTCTTCTTCTTCTTCTTCTTCTTCTTCTTATCCTTCTTCTTCTTCTTCTTCTTCTTCTTATCCTTCTTCTTCTTCTTCTTCATCCTCATCCTCATCTTCTTCTTCTTCTTCATCCTCATCTTCTTCTTCTTCTTATCCTTTTTCTTCTTCTTCTTCTTCTTCATCCTCATCCTCATCTTCCTCATCTTCTTCTTCTTCTACTTCTTCTTCTTCTTCTTCTTCTTCTTCTTCTTCTTATCCTTCTTCTTCTTCTTCTTCTTCCTCATCCTCATCTTCTTCTTCTTCTTTCTTCATCCTCATCCTCATCTTCTTCTTCATCCTCATCTTCTTCTTCTTCTTCTTCTTCTTCTTCTTCTTCTTATCCTTCTTCTTATCCTTCTTCTTCTTCATCCTCATCTTCTTCTTCTTATCCTTCTTCTTTCTTCTTCTTATTCTTCTTCTTCTTATTCCTTATCCTTCTTCTTCTTCTTCTTCTTCTTCTTCTTCTTCTTCTTATCCTTCTTCTTCTTCTTCTTCTTATCCTTCTTCTTCTTCTTCTTATCCTCTTCTTCTTCTTCTTCTTCATCCTCATCCTCATCTTCTTCTTCTTCTTCTTCATCCTCATCCTCATCTTCTTCTTCATCCTCATCTTCTTCTTCTTCTTATCCTTCTTCTTCTTCTTCTTATCCTTCTTCTTATTCTTCTTCTTCTTCTTCATCCTCATCTTCTTCTTCTTATCCTTCTTCTTCTTCTTCTTCTTCTTCTTCTTCTTCTTCTTCTTATCCTTCTTCTTCTTCTTCTTCTTCTTCTTCTTCTTTCCTTCTTCCTTCTTCTTCTTCTCCTTCTTTCTTCTTATCCTTCTTCTTCTTCTTCTTATCCTTCTTCTTCTTCTTCTTATCCTTCTTCTTCTTCTCCTTCTCCTTCTTCTTCTTATCCTTCTTCTTCTTCTTCTTCTTCTTCTTCATCCTCATCCTCATCTTCTTCTTCTTCATCCTCCCATCCTCATCTTCTTCTTCTTCTTCATCCTCATCTTCTTCTTCTTCTTCTTCTTCTTATCCTTCTTCTTCTTCTTCTTTTCTTCTTATCTTCTTCTTCTTCATCTTCTTCTTCTTCATCTTCTTCTTCTTCATCTTCTTCTTCTTCTTCATCATCTTCTTCTTCATCATGCAGATACTCTCTGCAGATACACTTTTTGCTGTACTGGAATTCTTCTTATTTTCATCCTACTTCTTCTTCTTCTTCTTCTTCTTCTTCTTCTTCTTCTTCTTCTTCTTCTTCATCCTCATCCTCATCTTCCTCATCTTCTTCTTCTTCTTATCCTTCTTCTTCTTCTTCTTCTTCTTCTTATCCTTCTTCTTCTTCTTCTTCTTCTTCTTCTTATCCTTCTTCTTCTTTTCCTTCTTCTTCTTCTTCTTCTTCTTCTTCTTCTTATCCTTCTTCTTCTTCTTATCCTTCTTCTTCTTCTTCTTATCCTTCTTCTTCTTCTTCTTCTTCTTCTTCTTCTTCTTCTTCTTCTTCTTATCCTTCTTCTTCTTCTTCTTTTTCTTATCCTTCTTCTTCTTCTTCTTCATCCTCATCCTCATCTTCTTCTTCTTCTTCATCCTCATATTCTTCTTCTTCTTATCCTTCTTCTTCTTCTTCTTCTTCTTCTTCTTCTTCATCCTCATCCTCATCTTCCTCATCTTCTTCTTCTTCTTATCCTTCTTCTTCTTCTTCTTATCCTTCTTCTTCTTCTTCTTCTTTCTTATCCTTCTTCTTCTTCATCCTCATCCTCATCTTCTTCTTCTTCTTCTTCTTCTTCATCCTCATTTCTTCTTCATCCTCATCTTCTTCTTATCCTTCTTCTTCTTCTTCTTCTTCTTATCCTTCTTCTTCTTCATCCTCATCTTCTTCTTCTTATCCTTCTTCTTCTTCTTCTTCTTCTTCTTCTTCTTCTTATCCTTCTTCTTCTTCTTCTTCTTCTTCTTATCCTTCTTCTTCTTCTTCTTCTTTTATCCTTCTTCTTCTTCTTATTATCCTTCTTCTTCTTCTTCTTCTTCTTATCCTTCTTCTTCTTCTTCTTATCCTTCTTCTTCTTCTTCATCATCCTCATCTTCTTCTTCTTCTCATCCTCATCCTCATCTTCTTCTTCTTCATCCTCATCTTCTTCTTCTTCTTATCCTTCTTCTTCTTCTTCTTCTTCATCTTCTTCTTCTTCATCTTCTTCTTTTCTTCTTCATCATCTTCTTTTCTCATCATCTTCTTCTTCATCATCTTCTTCTTCATCATCATCTTCTTCTTCATCATCATCATCTTCTTCATCATCTTCTTCTTCATCATCTTCTTCTTCATCATCTTTCTTCTTCATCTTCTTCTTCTTCATCTTCTTCTTCTTCATCATCTCTTCTTCATCTTCTTCTTCTTCTTCATCTCTTCTTCTTCTTCATCTTCTTCTTCTTCTTCTTCATCTTCTTCTTCTTCATCTTCTTCTTCTTCATCTTCTTCTTCTTCTTCATCTTCTTCTTCATCTTCTTCGTCGTGCCCCGTGACTGCCCAAATGAGTGAAGTGTGCGGTGATTCTAAGATCGACGGCACTCATCTGCATGTCATACTGACTGACAGTATTATTTCTCTCCCCAGCAGACTCCAAGGGCATTTAAATTAAAGGTACAGTGTTCTGCACTAATATAAAGGCTCTCTGAAGCCTAGAAACCCTTTTAATAAGTTAAATTCGCAGCGAATAAATTCGCATCGAATTGAATTTATTGCGCAAATTCGGCGAATCAGCCGAATCGAATTTTTGAATAATTCGCTCATCTCTAGTTCTAAACAGACGAGCTTACAGCAGCTTGGTGTGGCCTTAGGTTCTGGACAGGATGTTGCTCAAAGCAGCAATGTGTAGTGTTTAGGGTTTTGTAAAGCCATTAAAAGCAGCTCAGTGTGATGTGAGGGGTCTGGACAGGCAGAAGCCCAGAGAAGCTTTATGTGATGTCAGGGTTCTGGGACAGACAGCAGCTCAGAGAAGCTCTATGTTATGTCAGGGGTCTGGACAGGCAGCAGTTCAGAGAAGCTCTATGTTATGTCAGGGTTCTGGACAGGCAGCAGCTCAGAGAAGCTTTATGTGATGTTAGGGTTCTGGACAGGCAGCAGCTCAGAGAAGCTTTATGTGATGTCAGGGTTCTGAACAGGCAGCAGCTCAGAGAAGCTTTATGTGATGTCAGGGTTCTGGACAGGCAGCAGCTCAGACAAGCTTTATGTGATGTCAGGGTTCTGGACAGGCAGAAGCTCAGAGAAGCTTTATGTGATGTCAGGGATCTGGACAGGCAGAAGCTCAGAGAAGCTTTATGTGATGTCAGGGATCTGGACAGGCAGAAGCCCAGAGAAGCTTTATGTGATGTCAGGGATCTGGACAGGCAGAAGCCCAGAGAAGCTTTATGTTATGTCAGGGGTCTGGACAGGCAGAAGCTCAGAGAAGCTTTATGTGATGTCAGGGATCTGGACAGGCAGAAGCCCAGAGAAGCTCTATG